CCTCAATGTACCTACTAAATTAAATTTTTCACCGAAATAGCTACTGTAGTTGAAAATCTAAGTATTATTTCGAAAACTTATTGTGTGACCAGACAAAAAAAATAAAAATAAAAATATACACATCGTTGTAAAATCAATACATTCATCGCTCCGTTCAGAATCTTTAATATTCAAAATACATTTTATTTATAAGATCTCAATCAATGAACTACTGCTTAAAAAGACACGGGTTAAATGTTTGAATAAAAGTACCTACTCACTAGCTGTATGATAACAACTTGAAGTGCTGYCACTTTAGAGCGTAGGTATAAACGATACACCTATTTAACGCGTGTAACTTAGAACAAAGATGCATGATGGGAATAAATCTGATTTTAAATTAAAAATTGTAAAATKAATGTAGAGTACCTACTTAATTAAAATATCTTTACATAATCATTGTCTAATGGATAATACCTAATATCAACATCTAATTAAATCAAAGAGTATCAGATAGAAACCATGGGTTACACATCTTATACACAACATAATTTACAGTTGTAATATAAATAATATTATGTTTACTCAACTAACAATATAATTTTATATTTTTACCCACACCAACATAATTTCATTTAAAAGTACACCTTAATGACCTACATAAAATATTTTAACTCTCATGTGTAAGGACTATTGTTTGTTACTCATTAAATAATATAATTTATAACGATCATTGAAATTACCTAGTATTATTCTAAATCGTGATTAAATCTACCTAGTTAATTTTGAATCTTAAAATAATGATATTATTAATTTATATTTAATAATTTAAAAAATACAATATAATACTTATTTACCTTAATTAACATTGATAATAACTACAATGTTTATTCTGCTAAATATTTTCCTCATTGATAGATATTATGTTTTAAATTATTAATGAAAATTATAGATACCTACATTTTTTTTTTTCATTTTTTTAAATTAAAAAAAAAAAAACAGCAGATATTTATAATCTCAATGGTTACTGAAGACGTCATATAGTATATAATTTTTTGTTACAGTAAAATAAAGGGCAAGATTGTATTAATAATGTATAGGCACATTTGTTTTGTTAAAATAACTCATTTATATGTAACTTTATATTGTAATATACACATTAATTATAGATAAAATATTCAAAATATTTTACCTTAGAAGGCGGAATAATACATTTTAAATGATTAAAATTTGTTAAAATAGTTAAAAAAAAAAAAAAATTATAATATTATACAAAAAACATTATGATTTACCTTAATAAGTGGATGATTCAGTAGACGATACTACTTGCACAGACAAGAACACTATGAAGACGAAACAGGACCAGGGAATGTCCAAACGATAGTCAACGTCTCCGCGGCGTTGCGAGTACTATTTATAGAATTAGCTACGCCAGTGACCATTTACTTTGCGAGTCCTTCGGGCAGTGGGAGTCAGGTAAGTTCACGCATTGTTTGACCTTAAAGCAGATCAAAGTGGTGTATTCTTCGCGACAACCTTGATAACAACACAACACCGTGTCCGAAACCAAATCCTAATCACTTTCACTGTGTACATCATATATTTGAAAAAAATTAAGCAGGTGAATCATCGTTGTCCGAATTGTTTTTGCTGCGTGTCCCACAATCCTAACATAGTAATTYGTAAAATAATTATGTATATTATATATACAATATGTAACTATATTATTACCTCGGAATTTATTATTATCAGTATAGGTAATAACGAATATTAAAACCATTAAAATGTAATGAATTAATAAACTGTCACACTAAAATCATTTATATTATGGTGTATATTATTCGGCGTAAACAAATATTCGAGAAGATTTAGTAAGTTTGAGAGCATTCATGGGATCAGGAACAGGTTTTATACAGCACATCAACAAAACATTTCAATGTGAAAAATGATAAGTGTTTTTAAYTTTTCAAAGAAATTTTTATTTGTGACGAGGTAAAAAGTCCGGTTTCCAAATCCTACATGATTTTTATTTTAAATTTAAATCAGAGATGTCTGATACACGATACACCAACTTTATTTAAAAGTAAAATCATTAATTACTTAATCACTTAATATCCTAGAAGTTATTATCGTTAAAAGTATTTTGTGCTGTACATATTTGTAAATTCCACAATGATTAATTATAATACTATTCAATAATAATTTTATTCAAACGTTGATTTTTTGAATTTATCTAATGCCTTATTGCTTTAGCTATTTCCAAGGAAATGTTGAAAGTATCAGCTTTCAGTTTCTTAATGACATTGTCGAATTAATTTTATGTTATTATTTCCTATTGTGTACAGTATAATATAATAATATAATATAATATTAGTTTCTCTTTTTTGTTGTACATTCATCAGTGGATCAACCTATAAACATTTAATAGTGTTCAATAAAAATACTCTGATACCAAATGATGCGTGGACAACCAAAAATATACACATGAAAAAGAAATCACGTACTCGATAGTTTCTGGAAAAAAACTATACCTTATAAATATCATAATATACTGGATGGCTTTATATGTACTTATTATTATACCACTACTTTGTTTCCGAAAAAATAATAAACACTTCAAAAAGTCGAAAACAAATTCAAAATTAAAATTTTATCTAGGTGCATATTAGTAATAATCAAAGTTCGGGACTTATAGCATTTGCATACTTTTTTTATTTATTGTAAAATGTAGCAGAGTACGAAATAAATTCATTTCTCAATGTCGTGATACCAAATCTAAAATTTGAATGTGCATATTTTTGCATATTTCATACATTTTGCAGGAAAGTACTTATTTTTACGTTATTGTGCTTATTTTGCATATTTTGGAAAATTATCCAAAATTTCAACCGATCTAAAAAAAATAAATAATAATGCAATCTATGTACTTATTTACTATATACAACTCACAGCTCTTTATAATTTTCGTGATTAGAAAATATGATGGCCCGTATTGCCCGTATCGCAATGCAAAATGCGGAAACATTTAATTATTCAATGTAACAATGAAGGTAAGGTACATAAATATAAAATTATTTATTTATTGAATTTAATTTTAAATTTTTCCCAACATTATATAGTTTACGAATAAAATTCAAAAAACTCGGAAATTCAAGAAACAATCAGTTGATTTTTTTTTTGATTTTTTTATGTGACACTAATTGTAATTAATAATTAGGTATTAATAAAATAATAAATATATTAAATGCATATTTTTTAATTTTTTGTGCATATTCTAGGGTTTTTAAGTGCATATTTTAGCGCTTATTATAGTGCTTTTAAGTGCTATAAGTCCCGACCCCTGGTAATAATAAACAAACGTTATTTGTATGATAGCAATAAAATAATATTATAATTTTTGGCTCTTATTTGAACTTCTGTATTAAATCTCATAACATTATAAGTAATACTTCTGTAACTGTTGTTCTGTTAATCGGTTTCAAAAGCTCCAATTTCAGTTGGACTGCAATTATAAAACAATAAGCCCTGAATTAATATTTAAATACATAAATAATAAATCGTAAATTATAGATGAGATATATGTAAATGTATAMAAGACTGGGAAAGATACCTCAAACAAAGTAAGTATATAAATACAAGATACAAAATACTTTAATATTTTTAAAGATACTAGATACAGATACTTTAGAATACTACTGCTAATATCTGTAATTACTGTATAAAAAGTTTTAAAAACCACTTTTGCCTTAAGATTTTCTTGATTTTACAAAAAGGGTTAATGTTTGAAAAATCACCAAGAAATCTTTGTAATAGAGCTGATATACCTATTATCGTCAGACAACATAATTACTTCAATCCTATCTTAAAACGTGTTGTTACTACTTGGCCATTTCCAAACAACAATAATGGGAAATTAGGAAAATTGTTATACAGATGAAATATGAAACATAATTTTTGAATGTATCTAGTATCTTAATCATAAATAGATACTACATATTATAAGTCAATAAATTATTTAATTACGCGATACATGATACATTAAAATTATGTATCTCGATACGAGATAGTACAATTGTATCTCAGATACGTACCTTAAATACTGCCCAGCTTTACAAGTATACACTTATAATATGCAAACACCTAGATAATATAATATTTTATATATAACTCAATAACTGTATTATGAACTGTAAAATTCAAAATTCAAAAGTGGAGCGGTACCTGTAAGTAATAGAATATAATAATATGTAACAATAAAAAGTTTTTATCTTTATTGAACGAATATAAAAATGAGGATAATGCTTGCACAACATTCTGCAGTAACCAGTATGCATAAAAATCGATTGCATTGATAATATTTTTTGATATTAAAATGCATTATATAACATGCAAACAGCATTAATTACAATAATATATTACATTATGTATTTATGTATATATTATATGATAAAGCGTTAAGGGTTTGATATAATGGGTTGAGAAACATTTTTAGGTAGGTATTAAACGTTAAACCAAAATAACATTTATCGTGGAGAACTATATAGTGACTACCACTTAAGTATGTTTTAAACAAAATAAAAATAAAATTATTATCTTTCTCGAGGTCATTTACTTCAATAGTCTTGACTTATGGGCCGTATTGCTTAATGAAAACTAACCGTAAGTCTCGGTTTCATCTGTTCGATGGATCGACAATCTCCATTCAACTATATTGTGATGGCTGAAGGTTATGACAAAAAATAAATAGAAGTCATGAACGTTGGGAAGTCAAGACTACTAAATCCTATATGCGAAAAATTGTATTCTTCTTCTCGAAACTCCCAGTTATAGCATATATTTGCATATATGTGGCATGATTTCGCATTTTTGTACAGATCACTTTAATATGTGTATTTTATTGTAATATTTTGTATAGTTATTGGAAAATTTCGGTCATACTACATATAATAATAATATTTGTTCTTAAAATTAAAATTGTAAGCCAATAAATATAGTGGTTCCAGCTATATAATTTTAAAGCTGAACTTATTGACACTATAAAATATAGATAAAATATATATAGATACGCTAAAAGGAAATAAAGTTATTATAATTATTAAAAATTAACAAAATATCTAATATAATGTTTAGAAAATACAAGAAAGTAAATTGACACCGTGTTAATCACTTTGAAAAAAGGCACTTAGATTAAAATGTAATTACGAACCCACTTAGGTACTATGATACCATTATATTTTATATTATGCAAGTTTTATGATTTTCACATAAAAAAAACATTTAATAACATTTTATTTTGATTTATTTGCAGTTTACTGTGACCTAACTGTTTACTTATCCGATGTTATCGCTTATATACAAAAATTAATTTTTAAGAAAATAAAGGAATACAAAAAAAGCCGTATCATACATAAATATTTGTGTATATAAAATTACCTATCTACTTACGATTAATTCATGCTATTGTGTCTGAAACTACGAAAACTATATAATATTATAAGTTTCTAAAWTYCTATAATAGCTGATATTTAAAATTAAACTATTTGAAACAAACTGTATTTAACAGAGATTACAATACTATAAGATATATAACCAACCAAATTTTAGCTTTTACTGCAACTCACTCAAAGTATAGTGCAATATATTTAACGACTAGATACGTACCAGATGTGGTTATTGACAAATAGCAATTTTTTTCATATTCATATTCATGGGCGGATATGCCATTTTTGGCCTACCGGAAAATTTTAAAAAGGGGCCTCCACATGAAAAAAAATTTATAATATATGATATTAAAGGGCCCCATTACCGAAATACAAAAGGGGGCCCGCCGGGAAATGCCCGGTTGCCCGGTAGACCTATCCGCCTATGTTCATATTCTATTTTGCTAAGTTCAAGAGTTCAGTAAAAAATATAATATGTGAATATGCGAGTACTAACAGAAAAAAATTAATAATAATTGCAGATTTAACATTTTCACAGAATATCTATATTATTAGGTGAATGCAAATATCTACTACCTATATAAATTATCCATCATAATATACAGATAAATATGAATATAACCTGAAGACTAAAGTATGATCAAATAAACACCAAAATACAACAATTATAATGTCGATATCGACGTATTATTTACAAATAGTAAACATGTTTACCGAATTAGAAGAAATATTCAAGTTTTATGCACCTTGGCATAGTTAACTGGGCACGATATAATATAATACTTGTGGCGTATGGATGCCTACCACACACGCAAACTTGACACTATAGGGCATATATTATAGCATTAACCATCATAAAATTGTCGTGAACTTCTTTTCATTATTTCCGGAGGTACCTATTACCTACATTAAAAACGTGAACATGCAGTTGAAATTACACACATTATTATA